ACTTACTGACCGCTCAACTGACCGATTCACACACACTGACGAACTAAGTACCTTACCCATACAACAGCCCAACCGGCTCAGAATGATGGACTCGCTGACTGACCACCTCGCTGAACGAGCGACTCTCCGACCCACTGATCGACCGACTAACTGACTTACTGACCGCTCAACTGACTGATTCACACAGATTGACGAACCAAGTAACTTATTCCTTTACCGACCGTCTGACTGTCGCAACGATGCCGCTGTGCAAAAGGGAGCCGACCATTTCTACTTCAGATCGATCTTTGAATGTATTTAAACGGAACCTAAAAACCCATCTAATTAAGATAGCTCTTTGCTAACTTAAGCATTTCTCAAAAATGTTTTTGGAAATTTCCTAGAGTTGTTTTTAAGTTTTAACTGTAGAGATCTATAAAATAAGTAATACTGAAGAGCAGGTTAGATATTTTTCTCTTTCATATTGTAAAGCGCTTAGAGGCTTGCAACTGATAAGGGTTATTTAACTTGTGTATATTATTAGTACTGGGCAGCAGTTTACCACAGTATAACTATTTCATGTTGACGCTTCAACAATCCGAAAAGTTTGAGTAGGCGTTAAAAGAATCCAGGTAGGCTAAAACTGTCTTGTAACAGAAAACATAGCGATCCTGAAAAATAAAAATTCGATAAAAAGAAAAAATAACAAAATAAGTGAATGGTAGAGAGAAATATTAAACTGTCCAGTCATTGTGTGCAAAATTTGAAAGCTGATCGTGAATGTAGATAAGAAAGGTGATAACCTTACCAGAGAGTCCACAGCACCAGGCCTTTTGGCTCGAATGAGTTTAATGGTCTGAAACACATCAACTGTTTGTTCAATTTTGACTCGTTCGATCACTGACATTATGGAAGCTACACAGCCGCTACGACCCACACCATCACTGGAAAAGCAAGTTATAATACACTTGAGTTATTACTAAATACAATAATAATACAAAAGTGGAGTGGAACTTCGCTTTGTGGAAAGTGCGTGTTGTTATGATGGATAATTACTTTTGGCCCAGAACGAAATGGAGCGCAATCATTCATAAATGTAAAACCTCGTTGGTTTTGG